ATTTTTAAACTGAAATATCAGATGAAAACTGAAATTCTGTCAGTGTTCTTGCTCTTTTTCATTCAGAGAGACTGTCCCCTACTTTTACCCTTGTCTCGTTCACTCTAGTGTGAGGACAGCTGCCATTCCATGCAGTTAAAATGTGACTTCTTGCTGACACTTTGGCCTGTCAAGGGTATGGTCTTCTCACAATCTGCTATCACCTTCCTCTGAATAATTCTCCTAGAATCCTCTTCAAAGCATGTTTCTTTTCCCTAATAAAGTAAAAGGCTGTCTTTGAGCCTTAGCCAGCTGATTATACTGAGTTCACTGCTTAGCAGTGTGTGTTGTAGCTACAAGAGGAAAGCAGCAATCTTCCTCCAGCCACTGGTAGTGCAGGATAAAAATAGATGGAAACTTGCCTAGCAGACTACACCAGGGCAGAGAAAACCTGGTATCTTATGACAAAATTAAAACAGTGTGGTTCAAAGTCAAGGCTACAGGAGGCAAAACTGGACTCACTTCAGGGACTTTCACATACAACCTCTCTGTACAATATAGCAATACTTTCTGTACAGACTGATTGTTCTGTTTCAATATCCACAACTTTAGTCTATTAGAGGAAGCAAAAAAGAATTCCATAATTTGTTTGGAAATTCACCCACAGTGCCTTTCCAATTTCAGGAGGAGCTCTTCATTCTTCTTACTGCCTTTCTTGCCTCCAAGCATTGCATGGTTGGCTTACTTGCTTAAGAGACAGGAGTAGCAAAATCCACAACTGGAGGATTTCCCCCCCATCCATTTCTTTCACAAAGTATATAACTAGGGATTTTTTTTTGTTTTAAAGGTGATTCCTTGGCTGGAATATTTTTTTCAGACATAATAAAGCTTTTAGGAGAAAAACAATAAATCCCAACCCAGTGAAGAAAAAGGAAGCATTCAAATATAAAGATTTCACTTGTCACAAGCTTCTAATATTTTCAGAGTCAGATTAAACCCCACTGGCACCAGCAGATACAAATTCAAGGAACACTGTGGAACTTGGCTCCCCAGCCAACCACCACAAGTAAGTTCCTCACTGCTCCCCACTCTCCATACCAGGATTCCTTTTGGATTCATAAAGCCTTCTACTCACTCCAGACCTGTGGGCATAGTAATTGGTTTTGTAATGGTATTTAAGAAGTCATGGATTCCATGGCTCGCTGTCTTTTTCCCCAAGCCCAGCGTCTTTCCCTTTTTAATCCTTGCTCAGATTGAATATGTTATTTTCATGGAGGAAGACACCGTTGTAAGTCACTCAGGAGTATTAATTCTGCTGCATGTCAATTGTCAGTGGAGGAAGGGAGAAGGAAAAGGGGGAATGAGTGAATGTACGAAGATCCTCCCAATGCATGGGTGATGTAACGATCCTGTTGAACACGGGACACTGGTGGCCAGTTCTTGTGGTGCTCCCTCTCCTCACTTTACAGGGAGCTTGGATATTATAGCACCAGATCCCCCTTGCAAGGGGAGGGTTAAATTTTCCATACTGCATATTTACAGAAACATTCACACCCTGCTCCCTCCAAGAGGATCCCCTTGAGAAGAGGTTGGAGCCTGGTGTCTCTGTTTCAGGGACAGCGAGATTGTGGAGGGAGGGAGGGAGTGCAAGCAGATTCCTCTCCTTCCCTCATAACAGCATAAGAATGGCCATACTGGTTCAAACCAACGGTCCATATAGCCCAATATCTCCCCAAACACTGCATGGGTAGTTGACGAAGGAACTCCTTTCTTGGATTCTTCTCAGCACCCATGCATACCTTCAAGATACATCAACCCTCAGTTGGACTTCATTTTCTCAGAGAGGAGTGAAGGGTTATTGACAGTTTCTGCTGCAGGCACAGCCAATCCAGCCAAGAATGGTAGAAACACACCAGGAAAAAAGATTCCACTTGTGCCTGTCTTGTTTTTGGGACACAGAAAAGAAATGCCAGAAACACGTAACTGAGCTAGGAGCTCCAGCTCTGATTACTGTGACGGTGCCCCCCATAAGGCATTATGGAAATATGCTTATGAATATATATTACATAACTGGAATATGTTCTATGCTACATATGCCATGTAACATATCTACGTAAAGGTTATGATCTACTGAATCTATTAATCCTATTTGTATGCATGTATCATTTTTGTATTCGAAGTTATGAATATTGGCCGTGTACTGGCTTGATTTCTAAATAACCTTAGTAGAGCATTTGGTCAGTTCCTGGAGAAAGGAATTCGCAAAGTTAAGTGCCCAATCAAGAAGCACTTAAGGAACAATGCATCTTGGAATGCTCCAATCCACATAAGAAGTCTTCCTGGAGACATTCAAGATACCATGTGGGCAATAGCTTCTGCCTGTAAGAAACTGAGTCATGCACGGACTTGTGACTTGCCCAGGTGACTCCAGAACTCCATCTTGGAACTGGACTTTGCACAGGAGAGAGGAGGGGGTCTCCATCCACAAGAGAAAGTCTATTTAAGCCCGTGGGAGACCCCCTCCATTTTGTTTTCAGCTGGCTAAGGAGATATCCTTGGGGGTGGAGAGGCTAGCTGAAAGAAACTGGAACAAAAGAGAGTAACTACAGAGGGTGTGAGCGATTGCTGAACCCGGACTAGAAGGAGATTAATCTGTAAAAGGAAGATTACTGGACCTGGTGAGGTTTCGCCTGTATTCAGTTTTATTAGACATAGACTTGCGGGTTTTATTTTATTTTGCTTGGTAATTCACTTTGTTCTGTCTACTTGGAACCACTTAAATCCTATTTCTGTATTTAATAAAATCATTTTTTAAATATTAATTAACCCAGAGTATGTATTAATACCGGGGCGTGGGGGGCAAACAGCTGTGCATACCTCTCTATCAGTGTTATAGAGGGTGAACAATTTATTAGTTTACCCTGTATACGCTTTATTCATTGCACTATACTTTCAGAATGCTCAATTTATATTAAGTAGTTATGCATTCTGGGATTTAAATATTGTACAATAGATGGCAAATTCATTTTTGGAAATAAAGCATGGAATGCTTTGAAGAGATTTCTCTTTATGCAAGAAATGTTCTAGGTTAACTTGCCTGGACAATATATGATCATTATTAGACAGCATAAGGATTCTTGACATTATACTTTTTTTAATTTATGGAGAGCAAATAAGTGTATTTTTAAATGAAGAACATCCTAATGGAAGAAACAAGGCAAGTTTTCTCATAAACCTTTACTGTTCTTGTATACAGTAAATACTGTGTTTATACTCAGGTATATAGTAAATAATGATTATATCAAATAGTCTTTCTCCTCTATAATTTCAATATAAATTAATCAACAACATGAAGAGCTGGTGTTTATTCAGATGTTTTACACTTGCTTCCCCCTTAAATTATTTGAAACAACCCACTGTTAATCCAGTGATAAAATATTGTGTCTGCCTATTAAAACGGATATTTAGAAATGCTGTCAAAGTATTTTCTTCATGGGATTAATATATTTCATGCAAAGGAGAAGGTTTTGTTGAAGGAGTTAATCACTACGGGTTGACCATTTATCCCTGGATAAAGAGCATATTCTTATTACTCTTCCTGACAGAGCAACATTGTAAAAATCAGAATAAATAAGTAAAAAAAAACAAAACAAAAACCAAGAAACAAACCAACCCCCCCAAAAAACTAAACCAAAAAACCCACACCCACCCTCTTCAGGGTATGAAAAAACCATCTAAACTGTTGAAATTACAGAAACTGCACAAAGAGTTTATGCATTGTTTTAATTTAATCAGAGATAAAGGATAGCTTTGTAGTTAAAGCCCTGGACTAGGACTTTGGAGATCTGGGTTCAGTTCCCCCCATCTGTCCTTGGACAGTCACTGACTCTCTGCCCTCATTTCCCGACCTGTACAATGGGAATAAAATGTCCTGTTTTATCTATTTAGTTTGTAAGCTGTTTAGGGCAGGAGCTCTCCGTTATTACATGTATGTATCGTGTCTAGTACAAGGGGCCATGCTCCTGGTGGGGAACTCTATGTACTATCACCATATAAATAATAAATGCAATTAATGTATGTGATGATATTTTACTTCAACACCACTAACATAAAAGTCAAGTTTTTGGGCTTTGTAATTATGTTTAGAAAAAATGAAATGAAATCACACACACCACTGCAGTATCCAACTCAGAATAGTTTGCTTCTTTCATTAGATAAAAAGGAGAAGGGTTCTATTTAAAATACATTCACACAGAATCTCACTTAAAATTTTTCAGGCTAATTACCCGGTCATCCAAGTACAGTTGGAGAAATGTCTTTGCTGAGATTCTCTCAGGACTCACCTTGTAATGAGACCATCCGACAGAAAAAAATAAGTCATATCAGTTCATTTAGCTTATTAGTTTAGAAGCTGATAATTCTGGTTTTAACTCAAATCAAATCACAACCTTAAATGAAAATGCACTGTTCAATGAACATCTTCTTTCAAATGAGAGAGAAGAAATCAATTCAGAATACTATGTTGGACAACAGGTTTCTGATAAAGCAGTATAAGGGTTACTTTTGTGAGAGAGAAGCCCACGTAAAATTTCATCAGCTATGAAACTGGAATCATGGTTATAGTTACAAAAACTGTTTCTCCCTTCAGTGAATTTAAACGGTAGCATTAGGAGAGAGACAGTTTGAAGTCTAAAAAAGAAGAGGAGTACTTGTGGCACCTTAGAGACTAACCAATTTATTTGAGCATGAGCTTTCGTGAGCTACAGCTGCTCAAATAAATTGGTTAGTCTCTAAGGTGCCACAAGTACTCCTTTTCTTTTTGCGAATACAGACTAACACGGCTGTTACTCTGAAACCAGTTTGAAGTCTGAGATTGTAGTTAGGGCACCCTAACATAAAAACTGGAAACACATACTGAGTGCATCTCAACTTTAGTAGTAGTAGGAGTACCACAGTAGCAACTTAGAGGCCCCAATCAAGATAGGGGCTTCATTGTGGGGGGGGGGGGAGAGTATAGACACAAAGTGAGATAGAGTCTCTGCCTAAAAGAGTTTATAATTTAAATAGATAAGACAAAGGGAGGAAGAGTTAGCAGAGGTATAAAGAGGGGAAGTTACTTCCCCAAGGTCACAAATAGGTCAGTGGCTGAGCCAGGAATAGAACCAAGGTCTTCTAACTCTCTGTTCACTGCCCTATGCAATAGGTCATGCTGCCTTCCTGTGGCTCAAGCTACTACAGTTAAGAATCTAATGTAACAACCCCCTCCCCACTCCTTCACATTCAAGGATCAAAATTAGTCACCCCCTTGAACATATAAAACTATTTTACATAACAATTTCAAACTATACCATCTTTTTGTGCATGCAAAGCCTGGGGGGAAAATGCATTTCAATTTCAGGTTTTATAAAAGCAAGAAAACAGGACAGATTAACTTTTACTTAGTCTTAACATTAAAAGCTTAATTTTTCATACTGATAGTAAGGCATGAAACAGTCAGTGCCTTCTGCTATTTTTTTTAAAAAAGGTTACTAAAAATGAGCAATACAATTGTAACTGAAATTGTTATCAGTATTTTAAACATTCAGATTTAATTATGCACGGATAACACTTATCTGAGTCAATGAAATAAACTAAACGATGAACTACAAATTTTCTAAGGTCTGCCATAAAGAGAATAGGCCATAATAATCTTTCTGTTCCAAGGATCCAATCTTTTCCAAACAGTGCACTTTAGCAGATTATCTAGTTAACTGATCATGGTAACCCAACTAGAGTACCTATACCGATGAACACCTCTCACAATAATCTCAAAAGTGGTTGCTACTTTATGATTTATTAGTAGAATTTACAGCATTTTTTATATCTGGTTAGGTTATAAACAAGTTTGGAAGGATTACATTTCTAATCAGTAAATGCCAATAAACATTGATTTTACTGTGCACACACAAACCTATGAAAATATATTTTCATCAACAATAATGAAAATGAACCAAGAGGCAACGCAAGAAAAATGCTGCTTGAGAACTTCTGAGAGTTTGATTTAAGGATAGATACTTTGTACATTTTGATATGTGATATTGACAATTTGCATTTTAATGGTTATAAAACTTTATCATTAAATGATTATTATCTGACCTGCCCCATAATTTCCTGCAACTGTAAAAATTTAAATTGATAAAAATAGAAAAAAATGGGTTACTTTAGAAAAACTCTTTTAAAGTCAGTCCTAATTATGAAAGTACCACTCTGAAGGCTGGCCATCATCCGTCTTCCCATTTATACAGACATGTCTGAAAAGTTCCACAGAATGAGCAGAAAGCACTTCCATGTAGCAAAGGCGAGCTTCTCTCACAACTTCAAAGAGAAAAAGACAGCCAGCCTCATCCTTGCAGTCTAAACTGTCTGTTAAAGGGCTCCCCACCTCCAGAGCGGCAGGCTCCTTTCGTTTACTTAATAGTAGCAGTTTTTCCATTGGTGATCAGTGTGCCCAGAACTATTGATCTATTGAGTTCCAACTCCCTTGTTACAAAATGTTTTGTAGCATTTACAATCAGCTAAAGAAAAGAATGATTTTGGAAGATAGGGTGGGTGCCATGTCCTCTGCCCCAACACAGGAGAAGTAGACTGTAGTGTTGCCAACTCTTGTGATTTTATCTTGAGTCTTACGATATTTGGTGTTTCTCCTGAGAGTCTCAGCTTTCATTTCTAGTATTTATGGTTGCTGAGAAATCTTCAAAATGTGAATCCTAAACGCTCGAAAAACAGAAAGCAAATAAAAGGACCCCAAATTAGTTATGTTTAAAAATGTAATGATTTATAAGTCAAATTTCACGATTTTTTTAAGACTCTGACTAATGATTTTTCAGTAGTTGGTATTAGCATTACTGAGGCCCTATGTATACTCCAGACCTCTGCTGATCTAGGTATATCCGTCACGGGTGTGAAGAAGAGGTAGCCTTGACTGACATAGCTGTGGCAACAGAAGTCCTCTAAAATGGCCTGAAACAGCAAGTACTTTAGGTCCTCTCTTTCTTTTCCCAAGGAAATCAGATGGCTGTTGGCATGTCCTTGATCTACAGACAGTTCTTTACTGAAAGGACTGCTTTCAAAATGGAGAGCTTGTAGCGTACAAGCTGACCAACTCCCTGAAAAGGTCTGCAAAGGAAGAGGCATTTACTGAGAAATACCACTCTCTCCCCTTCTTTCTATGGAAGTGCAGCCAATCAAATTCAATACAATTTTAATACAGAGGGGCAGCCTGATCTTTCAGCACATGTATATAGCTGCCAAATTTTGTGCAGCTCCATATGACATTAACGCACAGAGATCATACAGAAAGCTTGGAGTAGGGCAGGGGTGAAATGTTGAGGAAGGGGGATCCAAAAAAGGGATTTGGGCACTGAACTGTTCTGGGGAGCGAAGGCTGAAAACTGATGGTCCAATCAAATTTCTGAAGTAATACTGAATGTGTTTTAGTTCAGTTAACACATGGAATTAAAACAGTTTTTAGCCACAATTCAAGCTGTACATGTTGTCAGCAAAAGATAAATATCCTAGTGTAGACAGAGCCATACTATCCAAATTCCATCTAAACGGATCTTGTCCCATGAGTTATGTCCCAGGCCCTTCCAGAAATATCTGTTTTTGAGCTAACTGCAGGACTTTGAAGAAAATCAAATGTAACTGGTCACATTAGTTTTTTATCTGTGTATAAAGCCCAAGAATGTTTGACATTTCAGTCAACAGAAATAGGTACATATCCAAATCGATGCTAGTCTGCAAAACCGAATGGCCCCCATGGGCAATATTCTGTTTAGGGAGTATAATATTACACAGAGATTCAGTCTCAATGTTTTGGAGTTCAGAAATTTATCAACTTTTAGAAGACCATCAGAAATAAGTCTGAGGTGATGATATTTAACTTTACTGCCATGTTAATAATAGGATTATGGTAGCATCTAGAGGCTAAGGTCCCATTGTGCTAGGCACTGTACAAATATGTAACAAAAAGGCAAACTCTGATCTGAAGAGCTCACAATAGACTCATTCATCAAGATGAAGAAAATATGCAAGAAGCTGACGTCCACTTGATTTTCAGATTGTTACTCTATGCAAAGGGCACCTAAAGGATTTAATGGTGAACTGAAATGCTTTATTACTTAATACTAGTTAAGATCCTAAATCAGGGGTGGGCAAACTTTTTGGCTGGAGGGCCACATTGGGGTTGCGAAATGGTATAAAGGGCCGGGTAGGAAAGGCTGTGCCTCCCCAAACAGCCTGGCCCCGTACACTACCCACCCCTTCCCACTTCCCACCCCTCCTCAGAACCCCCCACCCATCCAACCCCCCTGCTCCTTGTCCCCTGACCACCCCCTCCCGGGACCCCCCCGCCCCTAACCACCCCCCGGGACCTCACCCCCTTATCTAAGCCCCCCTGCTCCTTGTCCCCTGATCGCCCTGACCCCTATCCACACCCCTGCCCCCTGACAGGCCCCCTGGGACCCCTGACCACCCCCTCCTGGGACCCCCATCCCTAACTACCTCCCCCCGACCCCACCTCCTATCCCACCACTCTCCCACTCCCTGTCCCCCCCCCTACTGGGATGCCCCAGATCCCCTGGGATCCCACCGCCTATACAACCTCCCTGCTCCCTGTCTCCTGACCGCCCCCCTCCCCAAACCTCAGCCCCATCCAACTGCCTCCTGTCCCCACTGCCCCCCGGGACCTCCTGCCCTCCACTCCCCCCGTCCCCTTACCAGGCCGCTCAGAGCAGCAGGGCAAGCTTGCTGGACAGCCTGGGAGGTGGGCAGGCACAAGTCGCACTCCTCGCACAGTGGCGTAACTGCAGGGGAGGGGCTGGGGGCGAGCCTCCCCAGCTGGGAGCTCAGGGGTCGGGCTGGCTGTGGCCCGCGGGCCGTAGGTTGCCCACCTCTGTCCTAAATCATTAAAATAGTACGTGGGTATATTTAAATGGCAAGGAAGTACATTATAACAAAATATTTTATTTACTTTTATTTACTTATCAGGGCCTGAGTTACGGTTGTGTTTCTTCGATGCATGTTGATGACATCACAGATGTCTTAAGTATTTTAAACAAATGTGCAAGTGCTGTTATTTTTCATGTCAAATTTGCAGGAGAAAAAATATAGCCCTAAAACACAGGTCTTGGGAGATTAGTTGAAAACACATTTGCAATTTACTTTTAAATTATATTTATTCATAATGTTAACAATACACACGTAGTCTCTTAAATATTTCACTGATCTTAACAAGTTGTCATAAATATAAAGGGAAGGGTAACCCTGTATACAGAACTATAAAATCCCTCCTGGCCAGAGGCAAAACCCTTTCACCTGTAAAGGGTTAAGAAGCTAAGGTAATCTAGCTGGCACCTGACCCAAAATGACCAATGAGAGGACAAGATACTTTCAGATCTGGAGGGGGGGGGAACAAAGGGTTGGTCTGTCTGTGTGATGCTTTTGCCGGGAACAGATCAGGAATGCAGCCTTACAGCTCCTGTTAAGTTAGTAAGTAATTTAGCCAGAAATGCGTTAGATTTCCTTTTGTTTAATGGCTGGTAAAAAGAGGCTGTGCTGGATGGAATGTTTATTCCTGTTTTTGTGTCTTTTTGTAACTTAAGGTTTTGCCTAGAGGGATTCTCTATTGTTTGAATCTGATTACCCTGTAAGGTATTTACCATCCTGATTTTACAGAGGTGATTCTTTTACCTTTTCTTTAATTAAAATTCTTCTTTTAAGAACCTGATTGATTTTTCATTGTTCTTAAGATCCAAGGGTTTGGGTCTGTGTTCACCTGTACAAATTGGTGAGGATTCTTATCAAGCCTTCCCCGGGAAAGGGGGTGTCGGGCTTGGGGGGATATTTTGGTGGAAGATGTCTCCAAGTGGGCTCTTTCCCTGTTCTTTGTTTAAAACGCTCAGTGGTGGCAGCATACGGCTCAAGGACAAGGCAAAGTTTGTACCTTGGGGAAGTTTTTAAACCTAAGCTGGTAAGAATAAGCTTAGGGGGATCTTTCATGCAGGTCCCCACATCTGTACCCTAGAGTTCAGAGTGGGGAAGGAACCTTGACACAAGTGTTTGGCATTATTTACAAAAATAATTTCAATCACTTTTAATGGTGCTGTAAAAGAGATTACCAACATACCAATGCCAATATGCCTGAACTGGAGAGGCGATCTGTAATGGTGAAAGGGTCCATGCCTATTGAGTCAATAAGAGTAGGGATGGCAGTGGTTTGTGTAATACTTATCAGTTGGGAACTGGAAGGAGGACACTAAACAGCCTCAGGTGGTAATAACTTTTGGTCACCACTGACCTGGTATGGATTCAGATTGATAACCTAGAAGTGAAAAGATTCATATTCCATTACCATATGACATTCAATTCCACTGCAATCAATGTATAATTCTTCCAATCTATAAAAGCACAGATCTTTAACCTTCGGAGGAGGGTTATCATCATATTATTTAGAATATGATCCAAAACTGTTTAATAAACACCTAGCATTCTTCTTCTTGGAATTGTTAATTCTGTTAATTAAAAAAAATCTAATTTTATGGACCACTTCCTCAAGAATTTGGAAAGTAGCAGCAGCAGTTGATTTAGGTCAGACAAGATTTGTCTAGCGAGATGCGTATAAACGAATTGCTTTTTGCTGTCTCCCGTTATAAGATAAACCTGTGTTGCTGATCCACCACTCTAGGATTCTTTTGATAGCATAATATACAGCTCTGCTTAGCATTTAGAATTTATTTTTGAACAGCCACTGTAGGGATTTAACGTCTAAACTGTATAGGGTCTCTCTCTTTATTAACTGTATTTTAAGGCTCTGATAAAACCTAAAGCACATTTCAAAAAGGAATTTGACCACAGATATCACACGTGACTATAGCAGCCTTCACATTGACATTTTCCCTTCCCCCCCATCACAGCCCGTGTTTAGGGAAGCCACCCTTCCTCTCTAGCTTGCTGAAATCCAATCATTTATGGCTTGTAGTTTGATTTTAAACCCTGGATTGCTGATCACAGAAGGATTAAAACTTGACCTCCAGGTTAATGGGTTTGATTATTTGGGTTGTTTTGCTGCTCCGTGCAACCAAACAGAGGTATTTAAACAAAACATGAAGATCATTTTCATATGACATTTTTCTAAAATAAAGATTCACATATGACTAGTGATTTATATTCAGTATTTTTGTTTTGAAAGAACACATTGTAAAGAATAAGCAGATTAAAATGATTAAAAATGTAGCCATACTATGATCACACAAAACCAAATACTTTAGGATGCTATCCAGCCTAATAGCAGTGTTTTTGACTGAACCTAATGTATCTTCACTTACTCACAGTTCCCAGAAGACTGGCTTCCATTTGAGAAGAAACAATAGGCGACCTTTAACCCTTCAGTTCCCAGAACTATGCTGGGAAAACGTTCTCAGAGACACAACAATGATGCTATTTATTAAATTACTAAAATATGACAGGCTAAAGGCTTCAGAAAATTATTTAAATATATTTTTAGAAGGGGATAGACTGGAATAATTATTTTAAACTGCTAATTGGATTAAAAATCTTCAAACTCAAAAATCATTTTTTAACTCTGTACTATGTGTACTGACTGGTACTTTGGTTTATTTCCCTTCCCTTTTATAATGCTATTTTATGCATAGGGATACATGTGTTTAACAGTAATCTTCAAGCAGGACCAAGCCCTAGGAGAGGAATCTGTAACGTAGGTGCGTGTGTCATAATACTGTCCCTCTATTGTTAGGAAAGTGAAGTAATGTCAGTGTAAACTCCTAAATTCTTACTTTGCCCTGTGGAAAGGTAATACATGAGTCTTTGTTACCAATTATCTTCTCATCTTCATCTCTGATTATTAGCATTGTGGCAGTGCCCAGAGGCCCGACCAGGATTGGGACTCTACACTGTGCTGGTGCTACAAACACATAAAAAGGCACTGTCTCTGCCCCAAAGAGCTTGCAATCAATTAATCCATATTTTGATTATTTATCAAAATAGCAAACCATAATGTGAACAATGAAAAGACAGCATGTGAAAATGACCACTACATTTCAATGCATCAATTACGGACAGTGAATATAGAACTCTTAAAAATATTAAAAGCTAATCTTGCTTCAAATATAACTACGAAGGTGCTAAAACAGCCACTTCATACAAGTAATTTAAATCAAGTACTCTCATTTATACTTGTAGTAACAGAGTAAGTGTTGACGCATTATATAACATAAAATGCAGCTCGTACATAAACACTCAGATGAATACATATTACTGAACGTAAAGCATCAATGAATGGAAGTGTCAGAGAAAATAAATCAGTTATCAGTTCCTTTTCCACTTAGTTCATCTAAAGATTTTTACTATATTAGTGAACATTGTGTAGTGTACACAAGAACTTAGGCATTGACACTCTTAAAGTTAACATTTAAAAATATTGTTTACTATTATTTTATGCACCTTTTATTTGTTCCATAATTCGTTCCCCAAAATTATTTCCCATCTCCAAAACATATCTTAAACAGTTCTTCATTTAAAGGAGTTCCTCTATCCATATAGACATACATGTCAGGACAGATTATACCTATACAATTCACATTTTACAGCCAACTAAGCATTATTTTCTACACTGCTCATCAGATTTACAACAAACCACAATCCTAAGAATACTGTAGAAGCCGAAGAGAGGCAACTTGCTGCACTGAAAAAGTCAGGCCTTTCTCTCCCGCAAAGGATGCCTATCATCATAACAGAGCTTTAATTCTTACCTGATACGAACAGTTTTCCTGGTGTACCATCTCAGTGCATCATACAGAGAGCAGACACCAAAGCCAGGAATGTTTACAGAAGCTGCACAGTTAAAATTTACAGCATCTGAAGGAGAAAAGAACGCCCTTGTAAGGCGAGAAGCTTCCTGCAGATTAAAATGGATGCTGTTTCTGCTGTTTCAACCTGCGCAATGGCACTGCCTTTGCTAGTGAGGAGTGTAGCAGTGCTGTTCTCCTCAGGGAACTAGCAATGAGGTCTAACAACATGTAGCTGAGACTGTGATGGGGGAGGGGGTTCACTCATCACTAGCACAATCAGCCAATTATATTGTAGACACAAAGAAAAAGATCAGTATGAGGCTGGTGTGACCTTCTGGTGCTTTCTGAAGGCAGCTAACTGATGTGGAAACATTCTAGTCCTCATTAAAGGGAAAAGGGGGGGAAAAGACAAATCAATACTTCACTTGAACATTTCTGACCTTTGCCATCATTCTCCCTTCCTATAGCTGTTCTTCCATTACTGCTTAGAAGTTTTAATAATACTTACAAACAGAGAGTCATAACTGTATTACAGAAATATAAACAATTGCCTTGGTAATTTAAAAACATTAATCTATTTCAATCAGACAACATTTCTTTCTTTGGCCAAGACCATTTACAGCCAAATAAACCAAACTCAGGTGTACATTTCATACAAAAAAGAATCAAGGTATGTATTCCATCTTCCCAAAATAGGTTTAAGATATTGAATCATTAAATAATAAGTAGGAATGCATTCCAGTTATTTTCTTTTACAGTGTATCGGAGAAACATAAAATCTTTTCTTGAAAATGTTTTGTTCTACATTTCCTGTGAATTGTAAGTATATTGTATATTTCCTGTGAATTGTAAGGATGCAATCGTGTTTAAAGAATTTACTTTCTTTATTGTTGTAATGTCCATTTTGAGCTGGAGCTTTGACTATATTATCCAATACAGGGGAACAGTTAATGCCACACTGTTTGTTTCAAATGAAACAAACATCTGTGTTCCTTGCAACAGCCCCAAACAAAAATAGGCTATTCTATAATTAAATTTGACTGATGAGAAGAAATCTGAAGATCAGACAAATATCCAGAGGAAACTATACACAGCCACAGTTTGCCTACACAGCATTTTTAGGAACAACTATGACTTGGTATTTTAGATCTGAGCTGGTTTTTTACTTTTGTAATACCCTGTCATCCAATCCACAGATATGAGATAATTTGGCCTGAAAATTCTTAGAGGCTGGACAAATATTCCAAAACAGCAGTGATAATTATTTAAGAAGATCTAAACAAACATTCATTTTTGTAAATCTTCTATTGCATTTTCAGAGTAGTATTTTGAGATTATACACTGGTTTTACAAATGGCAGTACAGGTCAGGCTGTAATTCTCAACATATAAAAGAAACTAAATACAAACTTTTTATTCCATTGATGAACAGTCTTGTGATAGAAGACAAGAGTGAAAGAAGAAATAAAGTACTACTTTACAATTTCTCAGGATCTGTGATCTTGGGCTGGGAGTTTTAGCAAGTAGCTCATAGAAAAACGTGAGATTTCAGAGTCACGTTCACCGCTGGGCTGCTCACCTTCAATTTAAAACAGTGAAAACACGTTAGGGGTCCTGGCACATTAGCAGTCAAGTGTTAACCTGTAAAACACTCAGCCCAGATTGTGCCGAGCTCTTGTGTAGGTGCTAGGACACCAGAGTGTTCTTTCACTCTTGTATTCAAGAAATGCTCCCTCCTAATACCCCTACCAGAAAAGGGCATGGAGACATCCAGCCATCAAAAGAAGAGCACATTCCTATGGTACGTCACACTAGTCATGCTTCCCCCCCCCCGAATGCTGCAGAATTCCAGGAGGGATTGTGCCAATCAGAGACAAATCCCTTCCAGAGCTCAACATGGGGTGGAGCGACTGCACCAATCCCAAGCCGGCAAGTGCCTATCATGCACAATCTACTGCTCAGTGTTAACAGACACCTTCAAACTCTGCCAGTCTTTGCATAGGAATATTAGATGTATCCAGCCCCTTTAGTAGCTTAGCTATGATGTTCCAATCTCTTGCTAGCTCATGTAATGGTGAGATCAGTGAAGCCATGTTTTTCACTGCTCTGCCAATGGAGAAGACATGCTGACCTGAAGTCCCCCATACTATCCTGGAGGAGATTGCTGCTTGATGTATTATAGACTAGGCTATTGGTAAAACATGGTAAAAAGTTAAAATGTACTGAGTAATATTCATTTTTGCACAATATCCTGTACAGTATGAAAATGCAAAAACCTATCTCTGCAATAAAAAGCAACGATATGCTTCTCCTTCCTAAACTGAATATTTCTATAAATTTGGGAATGCCAGTTCATTACTGAAAAGCTATCTGTGTATCCCTTCTATTTTATATTAGCACTATTTCCTAGGCCTGTGGAGGCTGAGCTCACAAGTTCAAATGGCTATGGGAAAACAGGAATCTTGAGTTTTCCTTAGAGCCCCTGATTCAAGTGCCAAAAATCTATCCCTGA